TCATGTGACTGAGCGCCCTGGGCGGGTGTCCAGGGGTGACAACAGTTCATGTGACTGAGTGCCCTGGGCGGGTGTCCAGGGGTGACAACAGGTCAGGTGACTGAGTGCCCTGGGTGGGTGTCCAGGGCAGTGTTTTGCATGGGTTGGGGTACCTGCAATACACGATGGGTGACTCGCAAGTTTTGATATAACGGGTGAAAAATATCCTACCTTGTTATTTACAGGTATGGATGCAGTTGGAAATAAATAACATAACTGTTGAAAACATAAAAAATGTATTTATTTACACAGGTGTAGACCTAAATTTCAATTTGATATTAAATGCTTTTTAAAAATAATGCAGGCTATCCCTGCATAGACCCTTCCTAGCAAAGCAGTCTTTAAAATTCGGGTGCGGTTCAGGCCTCAGAATCTATTTGAAGCGGGTCTGACGGGGTATGGAATTAAATTACTGGCTGAGCACCCCCGAGGTGGGTGTCCTGTGGTGGCATCGGTAGGTCAGGTGACTGAGCACCCCCGAGGTGGGTGTCCCGTGGTGACATCGGTAGGTCAGGTGACTGAGCACCCCAGAGGTGGGTGTCCCCTGGTGACATCGGTAGGTCAGGTGACTGAGCACCCCCAAGGTGGGTGTCCTGTGGTGGCATCGAAATATCAAGGGACTTGTTCTTGTAATGAAAAACTGGAATTCATTCAGTTCACGACTGACAAAAATCACTAAGAAAGCAAACAGTGTGATGTCACCAGGATGCATTTTTGTTCCCATTGTCACTGGCCGCCTCCAGGGAGTCAGATTATTAGCATTATTATGATGATGTCAGAGGCACACACTTCACCCCTTCCTGCTTCCTGACCATCTACAGACCCTCTGACTTTTCAAAACTACATTCCTTCCTGTAAAATGGTGTTTATCACACCTAGCCCATCTGCAGGCCGGATCCCTCTTTCCCATAGAGGCTCCATGGTGTGAAGAGGTGAAGATCATCAGTGCCTCCATCCATCTTCTCCCAGTCAGGGTCACAGGGGAAGGTGATGTGCCGTCTGTGTGTAATTAATGGTGGTGGNGGGGGGGGGGGTGGACTCCACTGCAAGGATGTGCCTTAATGAAAAACAGGGGACATGTGTTACTCTCCGTCTCCCCAAAATGCACCAGGGCCCACTATCGGGAGGTTCCTCATGCGTTCCTCTCCATGTCCCCGAGACGCACCGCAGTCCGTTACCTGGAGGTTCCTCATGTGTTCCTTTCCGTGTCCCCGAGACACACCGGGGTTCGTTACCTGGAGGTTCCTCATGCGTTCCTTTCCGTGTCCCCGAGACACACCGGGGTTCGTTACCTGGAGGTTCCTCATGCGTTCCTTTCCGTGTCCCCGAGACACACCGGGGTCCGTTACCTGGAGGTTCCTCATGCGTTCCTTTCCGTGTCNCACACCGGGGTCCGTTACCTGGAGGTTCCTCATGCGTTCCTTTCCGTGTCCCCGAGATGCACCGGGGTCCGTTACCTGGAGGTTCCTCATCATTCCTCTCAATATCCCCAAAACTCACCAGGACCCACTACCGGGAAGTTCCTCATGCGTTCTTCTCCGTGTCCCCAAGACCCATTAAAGCTCCTTACCGAGGGGCTCTCACATGAAGGTGCTTTTATCTGTCAGTCGCATGTCCTGTTCACTGTTCCTTCAGGGTTCTGCAGTTTCCCTCCACAGTCCAAAAGCATGTTAAGATTGGAGTTGCCTAACTGTCCATGTGTGTGAATGGTGTGTCTGCCCTACAATGGGTTGGAGCTCCATCCTGGGTTCTTCCCTGCCTTATTCCCGACACCTGCTCTCACCGTCACTGTTTCACATGCTGAAAAATGTCTCCATTTAAATTGTCTGTCTTTCTTTTCCAGGTGTTCCCAACAATATTGGCCCAGTTAGTAAGTAAAATTCCCAAATTAATGAATTGTTACACGTCCCCATGCTCTGCTTGGCTTTGCTTTGCTTTGTTTATGTCTATTCTGAAGTCCACTTTGTATTCAATATTCATTTCCAAAATGCATCCAGATTATATTTGGATGTTGTTGATTCTTAATTTATTGTTTTTGTTGCTTACAGAAATATGATTTCAGTTGCCATGTTAGTTTTATGCATTATTTATTGTAAAATAAATATGTATTACAGTAAAGTTTTCAGATGTGCTCTTTGAGGACCAAATACATGTTGACACATTGATACAAAATGTCTATGTTATAAGCACATCACAGACAGAAAAACTCAATTTTTAAAGAGTGTAACAAATCTTCAGCGTAAACTAGATTGTTTTGAGGAAAACTCTGATCAGAGGTATGGAGAGCTTGCCGGCAGGGAGATGTTTCCATCTCCAGGAAGTCTTGTTATGTTTCCTTTTCACTGATGAAGCGCAGTTCAGGACTCAGAGGAGGTCCTCCAGACTCTGGCTGGGCTTGTCAGCGCCTCCGTGGCAATATTAGGTGGATCACGGGATTTGGGCATGGAGACACAGCAGTGACATTTGATTGGAGAAGTGCATGTTGGACAAAGTGGAGCTTAAAGTCGTGTGCATGGCCTGCATGATGTGCCCTTCCCCCCCCATACCACCTGCACGCTTTGGAGCTGTGACACTCTGACACCCCCAAGATGATGCACGCCTGGGGTCTCCAGGTGAATATACAGCAGGGACACTGTCAACACACCCCCGGCATCTCAGACCTCCCCCAGAGCTAGGTGGGGTGCCCCCATCCCCACAGATTACTGCAACACGCAGCCTACACCCTCAATTGCAGCAGGAGAGAGCAGTTAACACATAAATTACTATCCGTCTGGATGTTTTTGTAGACAACATTGAAAAAATAAAATTCACATAGCAGGAAACAGCCCATTGACCTTGAAGAAAGCAAACTTACACCTCACCTTGAACAAAATACCCAAGGAAAAAAAAAACTCTGCAATTTTCATACTGTTGTTTGAAGGTAATTGAATTCTTTATTGACTTTGTGCAACCCTATTTCCAGTTTATTAAAGCGCTCAGGGTTGCCTAATGCAGCCATTAAGGTAAAATTAATATTTAAAAAACGATTCTTGCTGTGCAGGATTACGTTGCATTACTGGCATTGATTAAAATGACTTTTCATTTGACTTCACCTGCCTGCAGTGTCTTAACAAACAATTGCAGAAAAGCAGCTCTAGCATCTACTAGCAAATTACTTGTTAACATAAAATGAATGCTTTTGTTTTTAATCAGCTTCTGATTGTTTGTGTGACACATGCAGGTGTTAATAGTTTGTTTTACTAAATGAAAACTGCTCAATGCAGTCGCGGCAAATTTCTAATTGTCACACAGCAGCGATATTCCCCGTCATAGTTAATAAGTCATGACAGTGAGGTGTCCTCCCTGTTCACCCTGCATTTCTGTGTGCATTATTCCTTTTCCGAGAGATTCCCATTACTAGCACCATCCTTTAGAGGACTTGGGCAGGCTTAGGAACTGTGGCAGTCCTTATATTGATCTTCTACTCGCAAAGCTTGAATGGTGAAGCCAGATAAGCATGTTTCACTACGCTGGATGTGAAGGTAGACACATCCTGCTTACCATGGGATGGGATTAAGCCCCTTGTAACTCCCACCAAGGGGCATTAAGCCCCCAGTAACTCCCACCATGGGGCATTAACCCCACCCCATAACCCCCAAGAGGGGGCATTAAGCTGTGTATTTTTGCGTGACTCAGTGTATCACAGCTCAGTGGCAGTAGTGTGTTTCCCATCGTTTACGTTATGATTCAATTCCCCCAGGCGAGTCTTGTGCTTCATTATGATAGGATGTGCATTCAGGGGAGGAGGACGGCCTAATTATGCTATATTGCTGTGAGCAGGGTGGCTCTTGGTCTGTACGAGACAGGCCTGTATGCAGCTCACAAACTGTACGAGATTCTAGCTGTACGAGACAGGCCTGTATGCAGCTCACAAACTGTACGAGATTCTAGCTGTACGAGACAGGCCTGTGTGCAGCTCACAAACTGTACGAGACACTAGCTGTACGAGACAGGCCTGTATGCAGCTCACAAACTGTATGAGACGGGCCCGTGTTCAGCTCTCAAGCTGTACGAGACGGACCGTGTTCAGCTCTCAAGCTGTACAAGATGGGCCCATGTTCAGCTCACAAGTTGTATGAGATGGGACTGTGCGCAGCTGACAAACTGTATGAGATACAAGCTGTACGAGACAGGCCTGTGTGCAGCTCACAAGCTGTACGAGACACAAGTTGTACAAGACAGGCCTGTTTTCAGCTCACAAGCTGTATGAGATGGGCCCATGTTCAGTTCACAAGCTATACGAGACAGGCCTGTGTTCAGCTCACACGCCATACGAGACAGGCCTGTAAGCAACTCATAAGTTGTACGAGACAGGCCCGTGTTCAGCTCACAAGCCGTACATGACAGACCCGTGTTCAGCTCACAAGTTGAACGAGACAGGCCCGTGTTCAGCTTGCAAGCTGTACGAGACAGGCCTGTGTTCAGCTCACAAGCCATACGAGACAGGCCCGTGCACAGCTCACAAGCTGTACGAGACAGGCCTGTGTTCAGCTCACAAGCCATATGAGACAGGCCCGTGCACAGCTCACAAGCTGTACGAGACATCCCGTGCGTTCTTCTGCGAGTAGTGTATAGCGCATGGTGGTTTGGGTTGTTCCTGATCAGTTCAGGATTAGATACTGTGGCAGTCCTGCTTTAAGGCTCCATTTTCCTGCAGGGTGTAGCGGAGACGAGTGTGGGACAGAGGGGTGGGGGCTGCAGGGTCTTGGGGGGGTTGGATTATAACACTTTCTTGCTCCCTGCTAAATCTGCCCAAAAGAAACTGAGTCACTATTTCCAGAAACAGGGAATAGATGTTGTGTGTAATTCTGTAAATCAGCTTGGAGATGAGTTCCTCATCCATGAGTCATGCTTTGATTGTTTTTTATCCATATGTATGGTGTCTGTATGTATGTATGCACTACATACATATACATACAAGCACACAGCATCATGGAATATAGTGTGCATATTCACTTCACAGTGGAATATCATGATTTACCACCTTGATCATTATCAAAGGAACCATGAAGCCATACTATTATGTAGAATGTTAATGTATCCACCAGCGGTCCGGGGGGGGGGGCTTCTCCCACATGCCTGACAGTCATGTGATGGGCAGCTGGAGGCACACGTGTGTCCGTCACCCGTGGAGCTCAGGCCATGCTTGTAATAACTCCTGGTCTCTCCTGATTGCCCACAGTTGGACAGAATGTTTCGTCCCTAGGGGTTGCAAATCGAAATCAAGGTAGGAGACCTCAAACCAAGATGAAATATCTTTGTAGGTCAACCAACGGCTCCCAGGATAAGCGATGGTGGACTGCAGCAGCAGGAGAAGTGGCGAAGTCCTTCTGCCTGTTGTCACTTATAAATAATTTAAACTGTCTGCTTGTTTTCGTTTGCAAGGAGCCAGAAGCGCCAAGAGAGCATGAAGGTTATTGTTATAAAGTGCTGTTATTCTTCTTTGGATGCATTTCAGAATCATGCCGTGCTCAGTGCGGAGTCCCTTTGAGATCTTCCACAAAGCCTCCATCTGCAGCCGGCACCGGACGTGGTCCCTTCCCACAAATCAGACCAAATTAAACGAGCACTTCTCCTAATTTCAATAGCCTCTGGTTATGCTCTGCGTTTTAATTTGGCGTGGCCCTTCCCGGGGCCCTCAGCTCCGTCTCCAGCCGATGCATGGTGATCTTACATTAATCCACCATGCAGATATGCTGTACTGACTTGCCCACCACCCTGTGATTTCCTACTTTCTCAAAAATGGATTTTAAACCGAAGGGAGGGGGCACGGTGGCTTCACCCCCCTGGGACCAGGCTTTGAGCCTCCCTCATGGCTCCACGTGGGCGTTTATGGTCTCCCCATGTCATTGTGTGGTTTCCTCTCAGTACCCCGGCTTCCCCCCAAAATCCACAAACATACTAAGGTGAATAGGAGTTGCCAAATTGCCCGTAGATGTGAATCGTGCCTGTATCATATCTGCCGCCCCATCATGGGATATTCCCTGGCTTGCACCAGTAGCTTCCGGGATAGGCACCGGACCCCCGCAACCCTGCATGGGATAAGTGGGTATGGATGGACGGATGGATGCTAAAGGGAGCCATTCCTACGCTGCCGTCTTACTGGTGCAGTTCGGAGCTGGGAAACGCTTGCTAGTGGAATCAGTGTGTCTGTGCTGTCAAACAACTCAGGGTAAATAATCTCCCCCAGGGCTCAGGAGGGAGGCTGCAGCTAACGACGCTAAGCTGTCCCCAAATACAGTGCTGGCTGCACACAGGACACTTAGCAATTTACATACACAGTTATTCATTCTGTAAGCAGTCCTATTTCGGGTCACAGTGCAGAGATGGCAATGGGCAGCTCCACCGAAATACACACAGCGACTTCAGCATCTCACACAGGCAGTGTCAGACATTAACATTAAGACGCTGAAAGATGTTCTGAGTTCATTTGCCGTACATTTCGGCTTTCTGCTTGTATACACAGCTTAAAAAGCAGCACCCCGGAACCCAGAACCTGCAACCTGTCAATCACACCCCTGTCATCGTCTTTAATGTTCATAACTAAACAAAACCATCCAACAGCAAATGATCTTTGCTTTTTCTACTTGAATTTAAGAATAGCAGTTATTTCCCACACATTATTGTTATTAATAGTAATGACAATAATAGTGATCTAAAATCATACCTGCGGTTGTGGGATGCCTCTCCTTCTTCTGGACATGCTTATGTTATGGTTTAATATCATTTTTTGTGTTTAATGGCCCCCGCCTTTTTGGTTTTGTTTCGCCTGCTAGTCGACGCCTCCCCATTATGAAACAGCAGGTGGCAGTGAGAATAGCACGTCTGCAGTGCCCCCCCCTTGAGCCTCTGCAGTCTGAGGCATCACGCCGTGTGAATCTGTAATGAGCTCTTCACGTTCCGGCCATCCACGCCTTGGGGGGGTACACCCCCCCTCTGAATGTCAGCTCGCCTCTCTGCCTAGATCCAGATGGGATCTTACTCTGTTTTATCATTAATTTGATATGATTGTGTCATTTTTTTGGACAGTAAGCGGTAAAACAGGGGCGGAGCTTCCACATCTGAACAGGCCCCGGCTCTTGGACTCACTGACAGTTTCGTTCCCCAGTGTGTTAATCGCACCTTAATCAGCGATGAGAGACGGGCGAGGAAGCGTGCAGTATCACGGAATGTCCGTTAAGGGACCGGCCTCACTGCAGCAGGCCTCACTGCAGCAGGCCTCACTGCAGCATCCGTTCATAGACACAGTAGCTTTGTGGAACGGGCAGAAAACCATTCCATCAAAACAGGCTTTTTCAGAGATGTTAAGGGTCAGGCTTAATGAGGTGAATCCTGGGCTGGTTTGTAGGATGTCAGCTGGGTGCTACATATAATGCCATATAAATAAGAACTGACAGGTACCTCTCAGCCGGTAATGTAATGGTCCCATTACGCCCTCAGTACATGCCTCTGTGGGGGCACATGGCAGCGATCTCTGAGAAACTCAGTGCCCCGGAGTTTGAGCCACGCGTGTGGAATTTGCCTATTGCCGGCCTCTAGTTTCCCCTGACGATCCAGAACGTTCTGCTGAGGTGAAGTGGCGTCCCGTGTCCTGATGCTTCCTGGGATGGGATGCAGCCCTAGTAGCTGCTGGAAGTTGATAAACATCGTTGACTTCATCGCCCGTTTCAGATATTTATGTGGAATCAGTGCAGTTTCGCTAACGATGCATATTGCGATTGTGAGACTGCTGTGCGTACAGTAATAGGACCAAGAATCTGTCTGGGAGAGAAATACCCAGAATTCCTCCTGCTGTGCTGCACATCTTAATGTGATTATTACACAATCATTGTGTGGTCATCAAGTGATTATCACACGATCATTACATGATCATCATGCAATCATTGTGTGATTATTACGTGATGATTATGTGATCATCACCGGATCATCGCGTGATGATCACGCAATCATTGCATGATCATTACGTGATCATCATGCAATCGTTACATGATCAATACGCAATCATGATCATTACATGATGAATTGTGTGATTTTTACATGATCATTCATGTAAATGCAGTCATTAGGTGATCATTAAACAATCACACAATCATAATGTAATCATTACCTGATACCATTATGTGATCATTACACAATCATTTTGCGATCATCATGTGATTGCATTGCATTGCATGATTGCTGACAGATTAGAGATGTTGAGTGTTGGTCTTCCCCTGTACCTCTTCTTCCTTGTAACCATTTGGTGTGTTCTTAGAGAAGCCGCCTACAAGATTATCTGGATGTTAATTTCAAGATGAATGGGCCATAAATGCTTTGAGGTTGAAAATTACAGATGAATTCCAGCATCGTCCATAGCTCCACCCCACTGCCACCCCCAACGCCCCCAGCGTGATGCCCACTAACATGGCTGCCTGCTTCTGTGACATGCCTACATTACCCAGAATCCATTATGCTTCCATAACCATGCATGTGATGCTGGCGCGACACTTGTGCGCACACACATGCACTCACTTCTTTTCTTCTTTGCAAGACTGCGAATGCTTCGGTCACTCCAACCGCTGCAGCTACATCGAGCTGCTGAACACGGTCATTTGTGTGAGCTGTAAGCACAACACTAGGGGGCAGCACTGCCAGCTGTGCAAACTGGGCTACTACAGAAATACCTCAGTAGAGCTGGACGATGAAAATGTCTGCATAGGTCAGTCCCGTCGTCTGGCCCTTCCGCACCCTTTGTCTGCTTGTTCTTCACCGGTCATGTGACCATTTTTTATCCTCCCATTGCTTCAAAAAACTAGGCCATCACTGCAGGCACACTAAAATAAATATGCGTTCTATAGCTCAAACCCTTTATTCATGCGTTTTCTATTTCCAAAATGTCTTATAAAAACTACATCATGTGCCGAGCAAACATTCCCTTCTAGTAGTGCTGCAGATAAGTAGGTAACTTAAGCCGCGTGTGACTTTACCATTAGTTTGGGCGACAAAGTTGACCATGGCCAAGAAACACAAAGACAACGGAATCGGCAAACGCAGTGAGAAAGCGCTGCAGTGACCCGGAGCTCCGCCCCCCGTCCGCTCCAATTAACATATATCTGCATGTAGTGAACTTGAAAATGAAAAGGCAAAGTAGGAAATGAAAAGTCAAACTGGAAAATGAAAAGACAAAAAGGAATTTAAATTTTATTTTTAAATTTTTCACATTTGACTCATACATGAGTGGAAAATTAAAATGCAAATGGTGCTGTTACATTTTAATTTTCATTTTTTCAGGTTTTTTGCGCACAGACTTTAGAAACTAAATGGCAAAGTGGAGACTGTATGTTCTTTTTATCATTTTCATTTTAGTTTTTGTACAAAATACCTCCCATAACTAATGTACATGTAATGGCCCGTGTGTCGCAGTGTGATTTGGGGGGGTGGTATTTCTATCTTCACTAACGTAGCGTTAGCATTGCTAATGTCACTCGCAGACAGAGCCATAAGAGGCTAATCTTTACCTGAAGAGGAACCCACAAGTTCCCGTTTACCCTGGTGGAGAACAGGGTATGTGCTTCACTCCACAAGCTGGAGATTTAGGTCATTATGCAGTGTGCTGATCTGTGTCAACTAGCAGGTCGCTAAGATAATTATGCAAATGGTTTCAGCAATAAAACACCTCATTAGCATACAGCTTAAGAAGCTCCTCATTTAAAGACGGCGTCTCCGAGCACCGGGCCAGCCCTCGGCAGCGTTTTTACCCAGCATTCCCTGAAATACCTGGCAGGGCGCCCAGAGTTACCATTGCGGCTTCGCTGCCCGTGCGCCACAGGTGTGCACACTGACTCTGTAGCCGCGGAGCAGACCGAACCACAGGACCAGAGTCACAGCAAATGCAGTGGAGTCATTAGTCAACGAACTTGGCGGGGCCGCAATCCACTAAAGCAATTAACACTTAGGGCTTGCTAATCACCCACTGAGTCCATTTCACCTCAGACACTGTCAGTGCTGTTTGATATTGAATTGCTTGACCGTGAAAGACTTAATTACCAAAGAACACCAAATACAGTTTAGTTAAAAATCACAAAAATGAAGTACACTGTATGGTGTGAGGAATTCAGTATGAAGGCAAAATATATATCTGAAGTTAAACATGCATCTCTGGAGACACCATATAGTTTGAGGTTGTCCCATATCCACCGTGTCCATCAAATCCTGCTATTTTCCCTTCCCACTCTCATTATCGTTTGTGTAAACCAGGAATGTTTCTGCTGAAGATGGTAACCGAATATGTTAGCACCAAGTATTTTCTCCTGTGGCTGACGTGTGCTCCTCAAGCATGAAGCCACCGTCTGGCTGAGAACCTTCCCCAGCTCACAGCTCTCTCACCGCAAGGGGACGGCGGTGCAGCGGAACACTGCCGGACAGCCATCACGCCAGTGTCATTAGAGTCTTATTAATCTCAGATTGTCGTACGACTGACAGAATACAGCCACGTAAACATCTGGTCCAGGCTGGCGCCGTGGGTGAGGAAGAGGAGAAGGTCCCCGGGGGGGGTGTAAGTGTCACCCAGGTCAGCTGGGCATGGTGTGAATTGGGAGGCTCTGTCAGCATTGATAGATTAAATTCGGAAGCTCAGGATTCCCGGGGGAGAGGAGCACCCCCCTCCTAGGCTCTGCCCCTCCCATAACCTCACAGAACAAGCAGAGCGTGGCGTGTTTGGAGGAGCTGGACGGTATTAGGCACAGTGACAGAGGACGTGTAGTGAAGTATGGGCAACGCACACACTTACACTGCTGCCATGGCAACCAGACAACACAACAATTGAATTAAAAGGACATGCTTTGGTTACCATCTTCAGCAGATGTTTAGGACAATTCATACTGTACACAAGACTGTCTGTTTGTGTATCGCATCATCATCATCTTTTTTTCATTATTATTATATCATTATTATTATTATTATAATTATTATTATGTATGACAGAGAATAAGCCAGTTTTGTGTCGTAAAAAGGACATTCAAATACTAGCATTTTTGTGTAAGATGAAGATCATCATTCCATCATTCAGATGTTCATAAGTAAGATGTTGGAGCTCGTTGGAATGCAGGGCCCGCCTGTAATTCGTTGGTGCTATTGAACACTGGCCCCAGACGACCCCCCCCCAGCTTGTGTGTATGTGTGTCTTGTTCCCACAGCCTGTAACTGTGATCCCTTTGGCTCCGAGAGCGAACGCTGTAATGCCACAGGATTCTGTAAATGTAAATCGGGAACGACGGGCAAACACTGCAGTGAGTGCCTGCCAGGATATTTGTGGGACAGTGGTTGCAAATGTAAGTAGCTCCCTCCCCCCCCCCACCCTCCCCAGACCCCCACCGACCCCTCATTGGTTCACTGGAAAACCCTGGGCTGGTCCATGTCTGGTCCATCTTCGCAGGCTCGTTCGTTTCTGTCTGTTTGCCTTCTCCTGTTGGCCCCCGAGCTGAGCGTGAGCTCACTGTGCAGATGGGAGGGTGGCACTCGCCCGTCTGATGTCGGCAAACTGCATCAGCTGACCAAAAACATGCCAGCCGCCGCATGGTGAGGGCCTCCCACCGCCAGCAGCTGCAGTTATTCACGCATCGCCTGGCTCTCTCCTTTATTATTCCAGGCTGCTTTTAGAGGGGCAGATTTCAGTGTTCGCTTCTTTTATGGGAGCCCTCTGCATGGTCAAAACCAAAGGCTACCTTCAGGAAACCCCGACGCTTCAGTGCAGAATACTGTCTGTCTGTGGGTGTGAATATCGATGGATGATAGTGTGCTATAGTCAGATCTGTACTGAGGTACAGTTGCAGCCTCGACATGAAGTGTTATATCAAGAGCTGCCCACTAATGTGGCATGGTTAAGTCTATGACATAATGGCATGTAACCTGCTCCTGTCATCTTTAATCAAGGACCTGTCACTTCTAAGGTCACTGAATGTCTTGTTGGAACCACATTTCCGCTTGGTTGATGTTTCGGATAATAATCTGAGATAGGATATTAGGGACAATAAGTGATCTGGTTAAATTACATATTGCACCATATAAAGCTGGTGTAAACTTATGGATATGAGAAACATCTCATAAACACCATGAGGGACAGGCTAGAATGGGCCTGAAGCGATCGCCCTTGAAGAGGCTTTAGGGGCAGCTGCTCTCAAACGCAAAGGCAGAATCGCAAAGCAGTTGCTTAACCTCTTAATCTAATCATGTACGCTGGTAATTTCCCCGCAAACCCGCATTCCTAAGCAATCAGACGGGAGACGGGGGATACAGCAGCAGCAGAGGTGCGCACCAAATATTCATGAGCCCCTTTGACCTCAATTATCTCGCGCTTCGACTTGTGAAAATGCTTTGAGGGGGGAATGCGACTGAGGCTGTCGGGACGGGGACACACCCAGTCCCCCACCCCTCTAGGACCGTAAGATGATAAGCCCTCTTTAATTACCTCTGCGTCCTATCAGATCCATAGACGGGAAATCTCAAAGGCAAGGCCGGACTGTTCGACGACTTCACACCAAAATGTGGCTGTGGAGCCGGGTCGCCAGTTCCAGTTTTGCCGTCATCTCCCGTTTCGCGCCTTTACTGGGCGGTCAGGCACATCGCGGGCTGCTTAACCTCTGCCGCACTGGGGTCCTCCATGGATGATGAACATGACCCCAATTAAACAGCTGGCCCCTGTATGTGAGGGTGTCTGAGTCTCCTAAGGTCCTGTACTTATAGCTAACGTGCCTTCCGGGGTAGGATCCAAGCTCTGCACAGCGGGAAAGTTTCCAAATGATTCTGGTGTTTAAGACTCTCCATTAAGTGCAGTCATAGTGACACAATTAACAGTGCGGATTTCCCACATACAGCCAAATGTGCCACCCACCACATCAGCATCACTTGTGGATATTAGTCCCAATAGCAAAACAAACACAATAAATCTCAAAGTTTATTGTTGGCCTGGGGTCTGTTTGCATGCTGAGAAATTGTAAACAGAGTAGACTGCAGAGCACATCACCAGCTAGTCAATCTCATGGTCACAGAGAGCTCCATTATTTAATTCTTTTTTTGGACATAAAATTAAATATAAACACCGTAGTACGTGACACATCGGACTTTTAAACAATGTACTTTGGAATACTTTAAAATTCCTTTGTGGTGTAAGACGGTGGCTTGGTGTTGGAGGTATAATTTGCACACAGCGGGACAGTGACATCCTGTCCTTGATGTACGGAAGAGAAATAGAGAGATATTGAAACGTTTTCCCTCACACGTCAGACAACAGTTTGAGGTAATTGTGGTCAGAGAGCAGAGTGAAATGCGGTAAATAGCAGCCGGTCGTCTGTTTAGGGAATATGAACCCCCCCCACCCCCCCCATGCCACAGACTCAGAGTCAAACTGCACAGACACACAGCCCTGTTTGTTGAATGTACTGGCGGAATGCAAACCGAAGATATCGGGTTTTGATAGCCGTGCATCTATGGGCGTCTTCCCCACAGGACAGTGCCAGACACAGGCGAGGTGCGGGTGGGGGACACATGCCGGCTGCTGACCTCAGGGCCGGAGCAGGCCCCCGGGGGCCGCTGGGGAAGCTGGGGAGCATGCCCCAAAGGCTGACGTTGTCATAGGCAGGCAGTTTTATAAAAGTGTTAAAAACCATCTTCCGAATGACTCACATTCCCAAAAGCTGTTCTGGAACATTCTGTGGAACATAGCCCTAAGGTTGCTAACCGCCTCTGAGCATGTACACGTTTGATGCTTTAAAACAAACTTTTTCGAGACACATGGAAAACTGTACAAATTTCTGCAAAGAGCCCATTAAGCAGGCAACAGCTCTGAGCTGGAGCGTAACCCTTACCCTCCCAGGGAACCTTCTGACATGTTACTGTAATCTACAATCTGTTAAAATAATAAAGACCTATTTATGTGTGCTTTGATTTATGGTTAAATACGAAGCCGGACTGAGACAGCAGGCAGGACAGATGGGTGTGTGTGGTTAACGTGTTTAGAAACCAGATACACAATCAGACAGTGCTGGATATAAAACCCATGTGCATTTTAAACATGTCTAATTGGGCCCTCCTTAAATGATTAATTTATCTATTAGCTACTCATATGTAAAAGTTGTTGTTTTTCTTAGTAATATGACATAATCCTCCTTGAGTAAAATTCTTTTTGGAGTAAACAATGGATAAAAAAACAACGTAAATTAAACCCGATGTATTTGTGACAGAATATTATTGCCTGACAATAATGAATACAGAATCACAGTCTCCCAACAGGGATTGAAATGGGAATTAGTCCATTTATTTCCAGTTGTGTAAAATGTTTGGAAATGTACTGGTCATAAATCAAAAACAGGATTATAAATCTATTTGAGCCGTGACTCTGAGATCTGGCCATTTCTCCTTAGTCTGATAGAGAGCTTGGCTGTTTTTCCGTGACACTTAATGCCTCTACGTTTAGGATCGGCAGGATGCTCTCCGGCTGACACTGAGTATCTGGCGTAGGGAAATAAGCTCCGCCGTCTGCATTAGCGTTTGAAAGGCAGCCCCTGTGATGATCAGCCAGGAGGCTGCAGAGGAACACCAGCGTAACGGGTGCTTTCCTCAGGAGGACTCCAGTTGGGTTTGAAGACCCCAAGAGTGCTGCACTCGAAAGAAAAAAGTCTATTGTAACCTTATCAAGTGTTTCCTCACGCCTCAGCGGAGCGTTTCTCTGTCTTCCTGCCTCTAATCCCAGAGCTGTGTGCAAAATACCCACAGAAGGTCTTTGTCTCCATCCACAAAGCTGAGCGGCTTGGAGGAACGTGCAGCAGAAGTTAACTATCTCTTGTTTGATGTGATCTTTATCCTGCATGTGAAATCAGCACTCTGTCTGGGGACTCAGCTGTCCATAGTGATTATCGTTTCTATTTACTCCTGCCTGTAAGTTTGTCGTGAACTGGGCCTCTTATTCAGGCCGTTAAATTATATCCTTTTTGAATAATTGCAAAATAATCTTATTTTGGAAAATGCCATCAGCTGGATCATTCGTTCTGGCAACATAATTTGTTTGGGTCCGACGCATAAACAAAACTAATCAAAACAGTTAAACGATGGCAATGGTGCCGCATAAATGCAACAGGTCATTAGCAGCCTGTTGTGTAAAGCTCCGGCTTCAGCAGAGCTGTTTTTGGGGATGAAGGCACAGGGCAACATGGAGCTGAAATGCATTACTTGCACTTTTGTATTATTGCCGTTTCTGCCAGTCTGCAGCAGGAACCCCATGCTCCGTGTTTTTTACCCATCCAGGGCACATTTCTGGGATAGAATTCACCTGCTTGTGTCACTTGTTTTCCTCTCTTTAGGTAACATTCCTCCACTGTTGGTGACCACAAGTCACCTGTCTTTTTCCATTACAGACCCGTTTGTGTTTACAGTGTGTCTCTGCATTCAGCTCTAGCTAGTTGTGATTGCTAGATTAGCATTATCTTTAGCTAGGTGCAATTGCTAGATTAGCTTTGGCTAGGTATGATTGCTAGATTAGCTTTAGATAGGTATGTTTATGTGTATATATATATAAAAAAAAAGGTATGTTTGCCAGAGTAACTTTAGTTAGATGCGCTTTGTAGACTACCTTTGCAAGCTTGCCAACTTTGGTCAGCTGGCTGGCATGAGATTTTCAATTCAGGACGCATTTACATGTATGTAACAGTTTTATTACCTTGTAAATAGTCTGTAGGGTTTGCAAACTGCCCAAAAGCTAATAATGTAGCCAGTTTTAGGTTTACAATGAAATAATAATAATTTACCGTAAGATTTCTTGCGTGAGCCTGAGAATCTGAAAGCATGAGCATCACACAGATGCATGAGAGATGGCAACCCTGCCTTTGGCTAGGTGTGATTGCTAGATTAGCTTTAGCTAAGTGTGATTGCTAGATTAGCTTCAGCTAAGTGTGATTGCTAGATTAGCTTCAGCTAAGTGTGATTGCTAGAATAGCTTTGTGTGGTGGTTAGATTTTGGTGACTTGTGAGGTTTACTAAATGACACCTTTCTGCAAAAGATATGCTGTTCGACTCAGCATGTGCAGCATGTACACGGGCACCACCCAGTGGTGTGATGCCCCCCCCCCTGCTTGTCCCCCACCACAGCCCAGGTGTGTGACGACGAGCTGCTGCGCTGTCAGAACGGCGGCGTGTGCCTGAGTAACCTGCGCTGCCAGTGTACAGTGGGCTTCAGCGGCGTGTTGTGCGAGAAGCCGCACTGTGAGAGCGAGGCGGCCGGCTGCGGGGGCCCCGACTCGGCCCGCAACACCTCCTGCCCGTCCTCAGCCCACCTGCTGCTGCTGCTGCTGGCGCTCGCCACTGCCTCCTGCTGGCCGGCAGCACTCTAAGGTCCTGGGCACGTCCCAGCCATCCGCCACATGGGAGAAGCAGGCAGCGGAAGTGGAATGTTTTGGAACGATGGCAAACTGTAATTTTAAACATTAATGAATATGAGTCACAGTAAAAATTAAATATTGAAAATTAAATTACAAAAATGACAAGGTATATATACGGAAGTAACTGAGCATTTGACCAGACCTGCCGGCGGTGGATGAACGGAAACTGTGAATAAGCTGTAACAGGCACTGCAAACTGGGGAAGGGGGGGTCTGGGTAACAGGCTGCCTCTCCTCTGTCTCACTGCGGCGACATCGGCAGCAGCCACCCCGCGGAGATGCGTCCGGCTGGGGACACACTCAGCTGCGCCTCATCCTGGTCGCAAGGCGACAAAGAAGTGCTCGGCTTGCGTGGGCCGACCTGAAAAGGTGGCACCGTTTGCTGTGAGGACCCCCCCTGCCCCCGCCCCCCACCCCATCCGCCAGTTCTGCTTCCCGTCTCTACGGTGCTTGCTGTGTTTTCCCGGAACCGGAAAATCATCCGCCTGCGTTAGCGAGGAACCCGTCCCAAAGCCAGCACAGGCACCCATGGGCCACGTTACCTGACTGACGGCTTTGTCGGCAGAGATGCTTCCGGAAGGATCGATGTATTTAATTTTTATATCATTTTTATTTTATTGACATACTACAGTATGGCGTATTACACAAAGTTTGTTTTGATAATCACGCAATCTTGTTAAAACGCTACTTGTTAATATATTTAACACTAGAACAAAGTATAAAGGCATTTTATTTCCGTTTTAATTTGATCGTGCAGACTTCCCTCAGTACGGCGTCAGACTGTATGAGTTTACATGTATACTGGGATGTACAACAAGCCACCAAAGGACAATTCTGTGTTTTGTTGCTTTGACACTTTACGATCTAGGTGAATAAAAGAATGAAAAAAAGGTCTGCGTTTGGTGTTCTTCATCATTTGTGGAGATTTTTTAAATAACGTGAGCAGCCCAAGATCAAGTCACACAAAAGATTATGTGTCATGGAGCAGCTGCATGTATGAACTGTAACTCGACACATTGACACTAAGGCCAAGTCTCAGGAGAATATTTGGAATCATGCATCAGTTTATTACTATATTGTAATGTAAAGTAAAAAATTAAATATTATCTCTAAACATACAGGGTTTCACCACTTCTCATTTATTTATTTCCACACTTGAATTTTCTTCACATGAAACTGCATAAAAAACAGTAACAGTTTTCCAGTTAAAATTAAAAGTGTTATTTGTGTCCACCGAGGCAGTGTGGTTGAGTAGAAAGAGAGGAATGAGTGCGTGAGGATCTTCAGTGTCTGCCTGTGGATTTATAATTTATAACGTTTATGCTTCTGCACCCTGTAATTATCAAATGATTTCATAACGCAAGGAGCTCTATTGCAGTTTATGCTGAATTTGTGCTGGAAAAGAATGAATGAAATGTGTTTTACAGAGGAATGCTCTGTCAGCGGGACAGATTAAATATTAAGGAGTATTGACATCTCACTGAGAGGCCTCACAGGTTACGAGGCACGTCTGGCCAGGTAGGATACACTTCCTCCAAAGTTTAAAAAACTAAAACTAAACATTTTTACTATCCCGTAAGATGAAGGCTGGGATGCTTTTGCAATTAAAAGGCAATTTATTTCTTTGAATTTTAAGTTTGTGTGATAATCTTCCCAATTAAATTGGCGAGTTCCTTATAAATAAAAGTTTGGTGTCAAATGCTTAACTCTCCCCTTCACAGGCATTATTTGCATTACTGAATTTAACTAACGGTAGCTAATAGGCTAACAGCGCTATATAACATCAGATAGCTGTTATGCTATCATATCCCCTCCACAAACTTTACTTACATTAGCTAAGAGACTTACAGCACGACGTAACGTCAGATAGCTATTATGTTATCATATCCCCTCCACATGCATTACTTACATTAGCTAAGAGGCTATCGGCACTATATGACGTCAGATAGCCGTTATGCTATCATCTCCCTTCCACATGCATTACGTGCATTAACTAAGAAGCTAACGTCGCTGTATACCATGAGCATGATGTTCTGCTTATGCTCCTGCTGGTCAGGTATCTTCCATTCCTCCTGACCTCTGACCTCCACCTACTCCGACATGACCTGCCCTCCATTGCCTCATATATCCATAGCTGGGGGGGGGCTGTACTCTGGCCCTAGGTCTTCCTTCCGTTCCTCCATCCCAGAGGGACCAGGATAGCCCCAAGTACAGCTCCTCGGCCTTATTCAGATGGGTAGTGGTAAATGCCAGCAATTCAGCACATTTGCTCTGTAATTTGCCTGAGACTCATTTTGCAAAGAAGACCTTAAGGAAGCTGGGTTGGACCGGGGGGGGGCAGAAGGAAGATAATCCTTCTTAAGGAGGCACATGAACAGAGAAGGCCAGCCGGGAGGTCAACCAGAAACATGACCTTCCTGGGAGACTCTGAGTCTGCCTAATGTGGGATCCCAGCAGCGTCTCCAACTTCAGTGCTGATATTTCTCAAAGCTGCTGTGAGATGCTGTCACACCTGCCTTGAACCCTTATACATTTCTGAAAATTTCATTTGATCTTCTTTTTCATGGTGTAAAAAATGACATTCAGCCATTGGTAGTTCAAAATTCTAGACTCAATGAATAGCTTGGATGGATGGATGGATGGATGGATGATGGTGATTGATGTGATGGTATTTTTTTGTGATACAGAGATTATGTAAGAAGGCATGATGTCTACAGGGGATGTCCGCCCCCAGGTGGTCAAAAAGAGAACACACTGATGGGGAGATTAGAGCGCAGGGCTGCAGGCTTTTGCAAAGTCAAAGAGCCAGGAGTCCTGAGCTTTTGGGAAGCAGGGTGCAGAGGCAGAAAATGGAGCGAGAGCGGAGATGGATGCCTGAGTAGAACCTTGGTCAAAGTCCTGATTCACTGCTTAAACCCACAGCTACTGTCTTTGATTCAATGGCAAGACTGGAAAGAATAGTACACACACTGATTTTTTTCCTTTTAAACAGAAATCTTTATATTTCAAACATTAAAGATACCATGTGTGTGTTGGTATGGACGTGTAGTTCCATGGAGAATTCTGAATAATTTATCATTTATTCATATTGACATTCAGTTAACCACGGGGATATATTCATTTCTTTGGGTAAAACAGGCGCTGCAATATAACATTTCAGCATAAACCATATTTATTACAAACAATTTCCAGTCATAGTGTCTGGACTGTAAGCTCTGCCTGCCAGAATTTTTTTTTTTTTAAATATTCCTGCTGCTTTTCCACAGACTCAGTGACTAATGACTTTATCGAGGTTTCATAATTCAATGTCACAGACAGCTTTGGAGAGAAGTGCACCTGAGGATATCCTGATCTTATTCCAGCGGGGGGGGCTCCACATGCTGAGCATTTTAAGCATCTGTAATGTTTCAGGTGCCATAAACACTCTCTGAGGAGGTGCCGTGTGGTCTGGGCCTCTGCCTGAAATGTGAACAGCCTCACTGTTTATCTCCACCGTGTGGAGTTTGCACATATAAATCAGCAAACACACACCTTCGCACGATTATTTACTGTCATGGAAATGAGGAAAAAGAGCAGGGAACAACTTAAGGGTGGGTTATCCATCGCAGGAGAAAACACACATTTATTAATGCTCCCAATATCAGGCGCCAAGAGTCATTTGTTAAGATAAAACACTGGTTAATCTTAACAAGTGGGTTAATATATCACACAGGAGAAACAAATAAACATTTTATGGAACATCTCCAAGGTCTTCTTATCAAGTAGAAGAAACGCCCAGGGCAGGGCTCTTCAACTCTGACCCTCGATTCCAAATCCAAGCCTTGTTTTCAGGTCTCCCAGGTAGGAAGTTCAATAATTACTGATTCTGATTGGCCAGAGGCTTTACACCTGGGTCACAGGTAAAGGAAGGCTGGAAAATCAACCTTGACCTAGAGGATATCCCCAAATGTGTGTCACTCTGAAAACTGCAAAGCTACAGTAGTTGTGGTGTACCATTGATCAACAGAGCACATAAATAATGAGCATCTCGGAGGCTTAGTTGCAGATCTGTTGGAAAAGATCTCTGAACTCTTGGCATAAATTCATGCCTTTTTAATCTGAGTCTGTCAGACCTCATCACCTAAATTACCAAACAGCTGAGCTAAATTGCTTCTCCCCCCTTTTCTATGGTCTGAGTTGCCTTGCTGGGGCAGTAACTTTTCCATAGCTGAAGATCGTATCAGTTGCCTGATACACCAAACAAATAAGAGGATCAAACCCCCACCACAGTCAAAATTTCAGTCAGAAGTGTAACAAGAAGTTGTTAAAAATCAGTGAGAGTTTAGATCAGTGGTCACCAACCAGTCGATCACAGTGCAACTTCCAATATACCCCTGACCCCACATTCCCACCCCGTGGTCAGCAAAAATATACACTGTGGTCAAGCCACCCGTAGCTCTCACTGCAAAAAAGGTTGGGGACCACCGGCTTAGATTCTCCAGTCTTGACGAAGATGGGAGTGAAGGGCATATATACTGGGCAAGCATACTGGCAATCTGGCTGTTTCAGTATTTTCACATTGGGTTTGAATGAACAAATCACTGAGACTTATTGCCCGTATAAGTTCCCTTGGCATGCTACTTGCAATAACATGACAGAGTCCAGTTTGAACAGGGAAACATCTCCCTGATGGTCAAAGAATATGACTACAGAGGTATGGGAATTACAGAAGATAAATGACATAAGTAGGGGGGCATCTGTAGGTGCATTTTAAGACTTGATGTTGTTTATAACCTCAATGTTTACTTGGTTAAACAAGAAAAGCACTGCATGCGAAAGCTTACGACCGGCTCTCGCATGCTACATTCTTATATATATAATTGAATTTGCTGCAATATGTTTGAAGCAGCCTCATGATAATTGGGGTATAGTTCTCTTTTAACAAGGCCCGCTGTCACAATGGTGTCCCTCGCCAATAAGGCACACACACGTGTCCCTGTTGCATTCTTTATCATGTCATCAAATCGACACGCCTCATACGGAGGCGTGAGCCCGCACTGCCTGGGGTCTTGATAATTACCTCCATGCCTACATGGGGATCTCCATGGCATCGCTGTCCGGGAGAGCCTAGTGGCCCCCTTCAGCCTCATTATCGCTGTGTGCTGATACCTCTCTTCAGAAGGGAAAAGCGTTATTCTCTAATTTAAATTACGTACCGCAGAGTATGCAGGAATCTAACATGTTTGCCCCATCCACGTGGGAACACAGCCGTTCCAGACCAGACCATGAAACATTTTCAAATTTAATGCACACAATCTCTGGAAATCTCACAGGATCATCATCTACAAATCTGCAATGCAGCAAATCATGAAGGTAAACACCACTGTCTTCACCAATAGCCTCTCAGTTTTCACGCTCCTGCTTTATTACCCAAAATATGAGATGATTGTCTCACTACACTGGGTCTGCTTTTACGGTTTGAACAAAAAGAGTTTACTGTAACTACGACTGAATGACACCACAGTGTAGTAAACGTTCAAGCAAAACTGCACAAACATATTAGCCAGATTGGTCAGCCTGTTCTGTCATTTAATGATCTGTTCACATTCATCGCTACATCCCAAAATTTAAGGGCCAGCAGAAAAGAACCAGTGCCAAAGGAGCTTTTAATTAAAATACAGACATCCTGCCTGATGTAAAAGTGGGGGGCTTTCTCTGGTGCGCTGGGCAGCTCTTGGCTGCCCTGTTGTGGGAACATATTGGGATCATTTTGCTGTGTTGTCTGGCTGCAGATTCGGTCCCAACCTGGCAACCCATCCCATTGCCGCTGTGCTTTATGGACCTTACGGCCCTGGGACATAGTCCATAAAACTTTAGGGGGAACCGCACTGGCCAAAACGAACACTCTGCACTGCTGTGAATTTCTCATGTTCTTTTGTTCCGCTCCCATTTCTCAGTGGTGCAATATCAGATTTACAACCAGATTTTATATTTTTGGCAGAAACAAAAAATCAATCAGGAACAAAACCAGCTTTGGTTTTCCCTGTAGAGGAGCTGACTGGATGCTCATACA